CGCAAAGCAACTGTATCAATTGAACATTTAATATGAGAACTTCACAGAGTGCCACACGAGATTCGTACACTTTTCCTTCAAAGCATATGCCAATTTCATACGAGATGTTTGCCGGCTTCAGCAGGCAGCTCATATTTCTTAGATGGGGAGCGTGAAAGACCCACACGGGGAATTATACAGTTTTAGCATGGGGGCTGCATTGCTGATTGCTGTCGTATGAGAAGAGCACAGCCTTCATTCCGTATTGAATACTTTGCGCATTGTAGTTGTAGAGCTGCCGTGTGAAATCTGTATACTTTCCACACGGGACCTGTATGGCTTTCGTATGAGAATTGTACAACGATCACTCGATACGCGTATGTTGTTCTCATATCGTTGCGTTCGGGCCACGTGGGAACTGTATAGTTGTCGTGGGCACCAGTACACATATTTTAAGCCGAAACCAGTACAGCAGTCACATGGTACATGCACACGCATATATATATATATGTATGTATATACATATGTATATATATACATATATCTATACATACATATATATGTGTATATATACATACATATATATATATATATATATATATATATAGATCAGAGTGAGGGGGCCGAACGGTCATTCACTGTCCCTGGGTGCGTGGCTGAAGTGGGACTTCGCGGTGCGGATTCTCGTTGTTGCTGTTCGTGGTTGTTTGTTGTTTGTTGTTGTTTGTTGTTTTTTGTTGTCGTCGTCCCACCCGCAACCCGCCCCGCGACCCGCCCCGCGACCCACCCCGCGACCCACCCCGCGACCCACCCGCGACCCACCCGCGGCTCACCCGCGACCCACCCCGCGACCCACCCCGCGACCCATCCCGCGACCCACCCGCGACCCACCCGCGACCCACCCGCGACCCACCCCGCGACCAATCCCACGACCCACCCCGCGACCCACCCGCGACCCACCCGCGACCCACCCCGCGACCCGCCCGCGGCCCACCCCGCGACCCACCCGCGACCCACCCGCGACCCACCCGCGACCCACCCGCGACCCACCCGCGACCCACCCCGCGACCCACCCGCGACCCACCTTCGACCCAAACCACGTTCAAGGTACAAACCACCATTTTCGGCGCCCGCGGCGGGTTTTTTTTGCATTCCTTCCAGGTGGAGAACCCGCGACCCACCCCGCGACCAACTCGCGACCAACCCGCGACCCAAACCACGTTCAGGGTACAAGCCACATTTTTTGGCGCCTGCGGCGGGCATCTTGTGCATTCGTTTCAAGTGGAAAGCCCGCGGCCCACCCGCGACCACGATCAGGGTACATACCAAATTTTTCGGCGCCTGCGGCGGGCATCTTTTGCATGCGTCCCCGGTGGAGAACCCGCGGCCCACCCGCGACCCAAACCACGTTCAGTGTACAAACCAATTTTTTTCGGCGCCTGCGGCGAGCTGCTCTTGCATTCCTTCCAGGTGGAGGTGGAGACCCCGCGACCCACCCGCGACCCAAACCACGTTCACTGAACAAACCAATGCCGCACAAGCGCGGCGGCGGATTTTTGAATGCCGTCTGCGCCCGCAACGACCTCTTCAAGCCCCGCGCATCAACACCAGCCCGTCCAGCAACTTTGCCCTGGCGAGTTGCCTTGATCAGAGAAGTCGGGGAGCATAAAATGGAAAAAAGGATTGCGTTGCCGTTATCTTGGGAAAGGAGGGGGAGGCAGGAGGAGTAAGCAGGGGACGAGGAGGACGCGAAAGAAGAGAGGATGTAAGGAGAATGTGGAGAAAGAGGAGGAGGAGCAGCAGGAGGGCGAGGAGGGGGAGGGGGAGGAGGAGGACGAGGAGGGGGAGGAGGGGGAGGAGGGGGATGATGATGATGATGATGATGATGATGATGATGATGATGATGATGATGATGACGACGACAATGGGAGGACGATGATGGAGGCCGATGGGGGGGTGGACGACAATGGGAGGACGAGGATGGAAGGACGAGGGGGGGAGAGGGAGGACGAGGAAGAACAAGAGGACGAGGTGGAGGAGGAGGATGACGATGACGACGAGGACGAGGACAAGGACGAGGACGAGGACGAGGAAGAGGAGGAGGAGGAGGAGGAGGACGAGGAGGAGGAGGAGGAGGAGGAGAGCGCCATCGACAGAAAGGTGGGGGCCACGAGGTCCACCGGCTCGACGACGTCCGCGTCGCCCGCGCCCGCCCCCTCACTCTTATCCGCAATTGCGGGGTGCTATGTATATATATATATATACACATAAATACATACATACACACATGCATACATACATTCGCCTGGCAACAGGGCCCTACCATATGCAACTTTGGGTACAGTCGTTGTGAATATTGCCGCCGGTGGGTCTTCTTATTGGGCCACGAACCGTGTGAAGGGTGTGCTGAAATTTGGCGGGACCGCCATGCGGGCGCCGCCACTGGGGCCCTAGGCGGAGCTCCCTATGGGGCCACGACACGTGTGAGGGATTCGCGGAAATAGAAGGTGGAACTGCATGCGAGCGCTGCCACTGGGGCCTTCAGTGGAGCCACCTGTGGGGCCATGAAACGTGTGTGTGGTGTGCCCACATGGGGTCGAACCGCATGCGGGCGCGGCCGCTGGGGCCTTCGGTGGAGAGCTCCCTATTGGGCCATGAAGCGTGTGAGGTGTGCCGGCATGGGGGTGGAGCCGCATGCGAACTTTGCCACTGGGGCCTGCGGTGGGGCTCCCTATGGGGCCACGAAGCGTGTGAGGGGTGTGCCCAAATGGGGCTGGAACCGCATGCGAAGTTTGCCACTGGGGCCTTAGGTAGAACGCCCTATGGGGCCACGAAGCGTGTGAGGGATGTGCCCAAATGATTGTGGAACCGCATGCGAACTTTGCCACTGGGGCCTTAGGTAGAACGCCCCATGGGGCCACGAAGCGTGTGAGGGGTGTGCCAACATGGGGGTGGAACCGCATGCGAACTTTGCCACTGGGGCCTTCGGTGGCGCTCTCCGCATGCGAACTTGGCCACTCACTGGGGCCTTCGGTGGGGCTCCCTATATGGGGCCACGAAGCGTGTGAGGGGTGTGCCGAAATTGGGGTGGAACCGCATGCAAACTTTGCCACTGGGGCCTCAGGTGGAGCGCCCTATGGCGTCACGAAGCGTGTGAGGGGTGTGCCGACACTCGGGTGGAACCGCATGCGAACTTTGCCACTGCGGCCTTCGGTGTAGCTCCCTATTGGGCCACGAAGCATGCGAGTGGTGTGCCCAAATGGGGGTGGAACCGCATGCGAACTTTGCCACTGGGGCCTTCGGTGAGGCACCCTATGCGGCCACGAAGCGTGTGAGGGATGTGCCCAAATCGGGGTGGAACCGCATGCGAAGTTTGCCACTGGGGCCTTCGGTGGAGTGCACTATGGGGCCACGAAGCGTGTGAGGAGTGTGCCCAAATCGGGGTGGAACCGCATGCGAACTTCGCCACTTGGGCCTTCGGTGGAGCGCCCTATGGGGCCACGAACCGTGTGAGGAGGGGGAGGAGGAGATGTTTGGGAGGAGGATGAGGAGGAGAAGGATGGGGGGGAGGGGGAGGAGGAGAGGAGTGAGTGACGCGGGGCGCTCTCTTCAAAACGAAGATCCAACACCACATGACGCTTTGGGAAAACATTCCACATGGGAATCGTATACTTTCTGTTTGGCACGTGTATAGCTTGCGCTTGGGCATTGGTCAGGTTTCGACTGTTTTTGGGTGTAGCTGAGATATGCGAGCCGACAATATTTCAGATGGGAACTGTATGTGTTTGTGTACATATGTGTATGCATACATATATATATATATACACGTGTATATACGTATATGTGCATGCATGTATATGTGCATGTATGTATGTATGTATGTATGTCTGTCTGTCTGTCTGTCTGTCTGTATGTATGTATGTATGTATGTATGTATGTATGTATGTATGTATGTATGTATGTATGTGTGTGTATGTATGTATGCATGTATGCATGCATGCATGTATGTATGTATGTATGTATGTATGTATGTGTGCATGCATGCATGCATGCATGCATGCATGCCTGTATGTCTGTCTGTCTGTCTGTCTGTCTGTCTGTCTGTCTGTCTGTATGTATGTATGTATGTATGTATGTATGTATGTATGTGTGTATGTATTTATACATGGTCAAGCGATGTATGAATGTCCTTTGTGCCAAGAGTCGTTGAGATTGGTCCCGAATGGTACGAACCTTTACACATGAGTGTTCTATGTTGGGTCGCCCTCCCCCTCCGTCTCGAATGTAAGGAGGGGGGGGGTCCTGGCACTCCCTCCCCATCGACTTTCACTCCGAAGAGGAGGTGGGGAGATGTTCGGACCCCTCGCCCCCTGCCGTTTGAGGGAGGGGCGGGGGGGGAGACGGTCGGCTCCCCCCCCCTGACGACCTCCCAGCGTGTTCAAAAGAGGCAAGACGCCCTGTCCTGTCTTACAATGGAGCTCCGTATGCTGTGCTAATGGCAGTGGGTCGTTGTGCACGTGCAGCCAACTGTCCTGCACCTCCACCTCGGCCGAGGGCCCGAGGTGGAGGGTGGGGCTCCCGCTTCGCATCCCACAGGCTGCATCTTCGCATCCCTACTGCTTTCAGACCTGTAGAGGGCGGTTCCTACGCAGCACGGGGTTCTCGCCTGAATTGCAGTCCTGTGGGGCGCTCGCCTCTCATGGTGGAGCTGCCCTGTGGTGGATTCAGAAAGAAGGGTGCCTGCAAAGACTTGTGAAAGGGGGGACTCGGGACGGGAAGGCGGTCCTCCCCTCCTCCTCCTCCTCCTCCTCCTCCTCCTCCTCCTCCTCCTCCTCCTCCTCCTCCTCCTCCATCTCCTCCTCCTCCTCCTCCACCTCCTTCTCCTCCTCCTCCTCCTCCTCCACCTCCTTCTCCTCCTCCTCCTCCTTCTGCTCCTCTTGCTCCTCCCCCCTGGAGCGATCCCAAACGCCCCCCCCTCCAACAGGCTCGCATTGGAGTCGCGCGGCAAGTGCGGCAAGCTCCTTCGAGCAGCCCGAGGCTCTCTCGCGAAGGCCGGCCCAAGCTCGGGCCCGAGCGGCGCGCCTGCGTGCGGGGGCGCCTCCTCCTCCTCCTCCTCCTCCTCCTCCTCCTCGGCGATCCTCCTCCTCGACGATCCTCCTCCTCGACCCTCGATCCTCCACCTCCTCCCCCTCCTGAGACCCCTCGACGGGCGGCGGCGGCGGCGACGATCTGCTGCTTCTTCTCCTTCCTATGCTTCTGTTGCTGCTCCCTGGGCTGCTGCTGCTGCTGCTGCTGCTGCTGCTGCTGCTGCTGCTGCTGCTGCTCCCTCCCCCTCCAAGGGCAAGCGCCCGCTGTACTTTGCTCTGCAAGGGGGGGGCTGTGACAAAGGCTTTCGGCCTCTTGCCCGAGGACTTTTGCCTCGAGGGAGGCCGCGGGCGGGAGGGCACCGAGGGGTGCGGGAGGAGGGGGGATGAGATCAACCGGAGGGGGGGAGGCGGGCCAGCAACACGAGCCCCGAGGAGCTCGGATGGGTCTGTCCGGGAGCGCAAGACGGAGCGAGCGGCAGTCAGGCAGACGAGGAAGCGGGACAGGAAGCATGGGAGGAGGGGGAGGAGCATGAGGAGCATGTTAAGGCATGTCAGGCGACAAGAAAACGTACCGATGGACGGCCATTGAGGAGCACGGTGGGGCCACTGGAGCGCTGGAGCTCAAATGAAGCAGCGCACGACAGACTGGGGCGTGGTGGCACGGAAAGCTGCGGTGCTTGAAACACCACGTCAAGAAACTGTTGTGTAAACTTGCTTTGCCTCGACGCCCTCGGCAGAAGAATTGCATGCGTGGTGCAATCGCCGCACCTGATAATGCAAGGTGTGGGTGTGATGCGGAACCCGTTCTCGTCCAAGTAGCAGAAGGTTCAGCGATTAGAAAGAAGTGCTGTGAAGGCAACGCTGCAAAGACATCCCTGGAGAAGCACATCTCATTCGTGTTGCAGGTGGCGACGACACTCAGGACACGCCGTGGAAGACGTCAGAGATATACCCCAAACAATTGTTTGGTCTGCGGGTCGGGAGCGAGCCTCTTCCGTTCAAGAGCTAGGCGGGCCGCGCAAAGCACTAATTGGGGAGACAGAGCGCAGGCGGGCGGGGTCTCAGGCGGCCGGAGGGCGCGGGGTGCAGGCGGTGCTGAGGAGCTTGCACAGGAAAAGGTACAACTTGGACAGGAGCCGGAGGCGAAGTCCCGGAGGGTGAGCGGTGTGGTGTTGCCGTCGACGGCGCATCGGATATACCCCAAAGAGACGAGCAAGGCAATGCGGGGCTCCCTGGGGCCTGCTCTTGACACTGGGTGCTTTCTGGGCGGTGCGGGTGCCGCGATGCGACCCCTGGGCGCCGCACATCCAGAAGGACATCCAGCGCTATGCTCTCGAGCTGCCCGAGGGCTGGGCCCCTCTGTCCCCAGTCGTCTCTGGAGGCCTCTGGAGGCTCCCAGAGGCCTCTGGAGGCTCCCGGAGGCCTCCTGGGGCCCAGGAAGAACAGAACCACCCCGAAACCTCGGGCCTCCACCCTCCTTCCGTCCTTCTCCTCGTCCTCCCCTTACTCGTCAGTGCCTGCATCTCTGTCCTCGTCCTCCTTCTCCTCCTCACCGTCCTCCTCTCCCCACGCCGCATCCTCCTGAATAACTCCTCCTTGTCACACCACCGGGCAGGTAGGGCGGGCCCGAATTTCGTGTGAGGCTTTGTCACCGCTTTGATCCTGAAGCCTGGAGCTTCCAACAGCAACAAGGATGGAGGGCGTGTTGGTGCCGAGCACATCCTTCCCCCAAGCTTCCATCGATTACACGGATGGAGGGCGGGTGCTTTTCACTGTGTGGCTCTCGCCTATGCCCCGCGTGCATTCGTTTTCAAATTTCCCAACCTCGTGGAGGGCGTCCAATTTTAAGCATGTCGATCTCGCTTTTTTCACCGCAGACAAGCATCGTAACAACTTACGACATATGTTCAGGGGTTCTTCTCATAATGGGAGTATTGCTTGATACCTCCTCGAAACATGCTGCCTTAAGTGTTCACTTGAGTAGCGATGGCACGGATGCAGGCGGCTCCTTTTCAAACTGGGGCTCTCGTCTGAGACCTCCCCACATAAGTTTATCACACGCGGGGCGGTGGGAAACGCTTGCTCGGATGGGTGCGGTTCCTGTTCAAGACGGGCCTCTAAGGCCTATATATACACATTTACACGCATAGAAACAGCATGTACACATGTATCTACACGTAAACATACACATATCTAAGGCTAGCCCTTCGCGCTCCTGAGAGCTAGAAGGATGCATCGCACTAGCCAGCAGCTGCTCCAAACAAAAGTGGGGCTGCCGCCCGAGAGCGGCAGGCCCGCGGGGCGGCGCTGCAGTCTCTCAATCGGGGGAGCTGCCCGCAGGGAGGGAGTGCCTCGTGTGCAGCGTGCGGGAGGGGACTCGCTGGGACGCGAGGTGTGCAGCAGCAGCGCGGACGCATCCTGGCTGTTTGCTCTCTGGTCCCCCTCCTCGCCCGCCTCTTCCTGCCTCCTCCTCCTCTTCCTGCCCCTCCTCCTCCTCCTCCTCCTCCCCCTCCTCCCCCTCCTCCTCCCTGGTTCTCCCTCCTCCTCCCCCTCCTCCTGCTCCTCCTCCTCCTGCTGATGCTGCTCCTCCTGCTCCTCCTCTTCCTCCTCCGCCTCCTCGTCCTCGTCCTCGTCCTCGTCCTCCTCCTCCTCCTCCTCCTCCTCCTCCTCCCTCGTCCATCCTAGAAAAGTCTTGGGCAAAGACCTTTCATCTCCGAGGGCACTGCCTCAGGAGGAGAGGGGAAATGGTTTTGTGGTATATGTGATCGGCACACGCACACATACACACACGCAAAAGGTTGTGTTGCGGCCCTGTGGGGAGCCCTTCTTCTGGCCTTTGTCCGGCACGACAAACGCACGATTTTGGACCACACGAGACCTCGTAGTGTGCTCTGCTCGTGTTGTAAGAGGGGGGGCCCGAGTGCGTAATATAGCCAGGCAGTGTGTTGGGATAGCCCCTCCTGGGCGATCCAGATGTCATAAGCGTGGCTATATGTTGCAGGGGAAGCGGGTCCAAACGGAGAGGTGATAAGGGGGGACGGTCTCATCGTCCCCTCCCTCTCCGACAGCCGAGGCAAGCCTCGTTGGCTCTTCGGCCCACGTCTCGTCTTTGGCTCTTCCTGCCCTGCCTGTCGTAGCGCGCAGCCCTCCCTCCTCCGTCCTAGCCCTGTGTCGTTGACTTGTTTCTCTTCTCCTTGCAGTGCCTTGTCGAGTGAGTCTCTGGTCTGTTGTCGTTGTCGGTTGTCGGTCGTTGGTTGTTGGTTGTTGTTGTTGCTGCTGTTGTAGTTGTAGTTGTTGTAATTGCTGTAGTTGTTGCTGCTGTTGCTGTCGTTGTTGTTGTTTTCGTTTGTTTTTGCGTTCGTGCCTGTTGTTGCTGCTGCTGCTATTGTTGAGCACAGCTTTCATTCCCATGCCACAGTTCGACGACGGCCTCGAGGCGGGAGGCGAGGCTAGCGCCGTGGGCCTCGCCCGCTCCCTCCCCGCCGCGCCTTGGCAGGGGTGGCGGGGCCGAAGCTCTGCCTCCGGGAGGGGGGGGGGGGAGGACCGGCGGCTCGTGTCCTGGTGCTCCCCGTCGCCGTCGCCGTGGTCGTCGTCGTCCTCCTCCGCCTCCCCCTCCTCTGCCATGCCTCGAGTTCCTCGTTCTCTCCGCGTGTCTCTTCATCTCCCTGTCTGAGTGTCCGTCTGGCCTCCTCGCTCGCTCTCTCTCTCTGTATAATCGGTATATATATAGACGTGTACATGTGTATGTGTATATATATAGATATGAATTAATGAAACACTCAGCCTGCACTTTATATCCATATAAGCATACATACATCATATGCGACGTGCACCATACATACACGCAGTGAGTGGCTGTAGTGGGGCTCCGCGGTGCGGATTGTCGTCGTCGTTCGTGTTGTTGTCGTTGGAAATTCCGTTCTGAAGATTCATGGCTGTTGATCCTTGCGTCATGTGCCCATTGTATTTTGTCAGTTGAAATGCCCTCCGGGGGCTCGCACCCGGTGTTTCTCGACATCCCAGCAACACGGTGAGGCCAGTGCGATGCGAAACAAACATGTGCCTCCGATTGCGCGCACAACTGGCTCGCACCCAATTTCTAGAAGGGACACTCTTGGAGCTCAAACAGCGTTGCTGCCCCCCCGGACTACAACCGCAACGGCTCCCGTCCAATACATCCTCGCACTGTATAAGACAACATCGCACTCTCCCTCGACACTTCCCCACAGCGTACTCAGAGATCGCACCCTCGCCCAAGACTTCCTCGCGACTTACTCCTGTGCTGCGCCCTCGGCGTCCAGGACATTCCTGGCAGGACTCGCGCAACACTCGCCATTCACTCGGGACCCGTGCTCCTCCCCAGGAGGCCTCCCCACGATCTGCGAGACTCGCTTGGAAGCCCCGCCGCTCCGACCCGCCCGCCAGGGGCCCGCCCGCGCGACCTGCCCGCCAGGGCCCGCGCGCCCGACCCGCCCGTGCAGACCCGCCCGCCTCCCTGCTTGGAAGCCCGCCCGCCCGCTCCTCCTCCTCCTCCTCCTCCTCCTCGCTCCTCCTCCTCCTCCTCCTCCTCCTCCTCCTCCTCCTCCTCCTCCCCCTCCTCCTCCTCCTCGCACGTGGCCGCCTCCTCCTCCTCCCCTCCTCCTCGCTCCTCCTCCTCCTCCTCCTCGCTCCTCCTCCTCCTCCTCCTCCTCCTCCTCCTCCTCCTCCCCCTCCTCCTCCTCCTCGCACGTGGCCGCCTCCTCCTCCTCCTCCTCGCTCCTCCTCGCTCCTCCTCCTCCTCCTCCTCTCCTCCTCCTCCTCCCTCCTCCTCCTCCTCGCACGTGCCCTCCTCCTCCTCCTCCTCCTCCTCCTCCTCCTCCTCCTCCTCCTCCCCTCCCCTCCTCCTCCTCCTCCTCCGGCCGCCCCCTCCTCCTCCTCCTCCTCCTCCTCCTCCTCCTCCTCCTCCTCGCTCCTCCTCTCCTCCTCGCTCCTCCTCCTCCTCCTCCTCCTCGCTCCTCCTCGCTCCCTCGCTCCTCCTCCTCCTCCTCCTCCTCCTCCTCCTCCTCCTCCTCCTCCTCTGCTCAGACTACATCTGAAAAGGCCTCTGCTCCAGGGGCGGAGGGCCCCGCCCGACCCGCCCGCAACGGGGGCAGGGGCCCCCCGCGCCCGACCACCCGCCCGGGCCCGCCCGCCCACCGGCCCGCCCGCCCACCGGCCCGCGCGCTCGCCGGCCTTTGGGGCCTGCCAGGTTCTCGAGCGCGCGGCGGGGCTGAGGACGAGACCGATGGGGCCCAAAGGACACACAAAGAAATACACACACAGCCCAAGACTGCCCATATGTTTCAATATTTCCGGGACTTTCGTCTTCCCCCTTTTCACATATTTTACCACATTCCCCTGGGAGTCGACAGTGAATTGTGTCTGTGTGTGTTCCCCCTACTGAGCGACGTGCGCGCGCAGGTCAGCAAGGGCAAACGACACCCCAGCAAATATACAAGAGGCCTCAGACCCACAAGCCAAGGCGCGGTGACGTGATGGGCCGATAGCGCCCACGTCTCAATGTGCGCCGATGATTCCCATCCGCCCCCGCATGATGTTCCCAGGTGCGCCAAGGCAGCGCCGAGACGCACCGACGCGACTCTGATAGATCCCATTCTGATAGAGGGAGCCGGCGACAAGGGGCGAACCCCTCACGGATATGAGAGAGAGAAAGAAGCCTCTCTTGGAGGTGCGCTTTTTACCTCTGCTGGCTTCCACCAGCCTTCCGCTGGCCTTCGCCGGCAGGGCCTCCCTCATTCCTCATTTTCTCCCCGCCGCGCCGCGCGTCTCGCACCTCACGCTCGTCCTCGCGATCCTGAGTCCTCCGTCCTCCGTCCTCCGCCTCCTCCTCCTCCTGCTTCTGCTGCTCCTCCTGCTTCTCTCCCTGCCTCAGCTCTCCGCATGTCCATGCCGCCACACGGTGTGACGGCAAGGGCAGCTTTCTGGGTGCGCCTCACACCCCTGTGCACCAAAAGGAGCTCCCCTTCGGGTCTCAGCGGGCGCAGGCGGACCCGCGCTCCTCCCGGCACACCCCTCAAGCAGAGCATGTCAACCAGGAAGCTCACCCTGCGGCCCAAGTGGGCGCAGACGTACAGATAGAAGAAGAAAAAACGCCATAAACATTCACTTCTGGCGCTCCGCGCGGATTTCTTGGATCCGCATGGAGGCCCGCGCCCACCTCGGCGCACCCCTCACGCGAACGGTGCCCCCACGAGGACTCCGTGTGTGCTGGCGCATGCCGGCCCGCGCCCGCCTCGGCACACCCCTCGCGCGGATCGTGCCCCCCCCCCCCCCCCCAGGGAGCTCCGCCTGCTCGCTCTCGCTCGGACGCCCATTCCTCGTGCCCCTGTCTCAGCGCCCCTCTAACGGGGGCCTCCACTAACGGGTACTTTGGCCAAACCCCGACGTGGGCAACGCTGCAATGCCAGAAAAAGGCTTTAAAAACTCAACATTCGGCAAATCTCCAAAGTACCCGTTAGGGAGTACCCGTTACGGTGCCCCTTTCGGCCTCGTGCGTGCCTGTTCTGCCGAAGGGTCCAGGGGTGCTCCTCGCTGGTCCTCGCTCCACCTGCTCGCTCTCGCTCGGACGCTCCTTCCTCGCGCCCCTCTCGGCCTCGTGGGCTGCCTCTTCTGCCGGAGGGTCCAGGATGCTCCTCGCTGGTCCTCGCTCCACCTGCTCGCTCTCGCTCGGACGCTCCTTCCTCGCGCCCCTCTCGGCCTCGTGGGCTGCCTCTTCTGCCGGAGGGTCCAGGATGCTCCTCGCTGGTCCTCGCTCCACCTGCTCGCTCTCGCTCGGACGCTCCTTCCTCGCGCCCCTCTCGGCCTCGTGGGCTTGCCTCTTCTGCCGGAGGGTCCAGGATGCTCCTCGCTGGTCCTCGCTCCACCTGCTCGCTCTCGCTCGGACGCTCCTTCCTCGCGCCCCTCTCGGCCTCGTGGGTTTGCCTCTTCTGCCGGGATGGCCCCCGCGATGGTGCTCCGCGATGGCCCCCGCCGAGGAAGCATGCGCGAGTCCGCGCGAAGCCAGGCCGCCCGCCTCAGTGGGCGCAGACGCATGCGGGCCCCCGCCCGTTCGGGGATGGGCAGAACCCCCCTTTAGCAGAGCGTGGTTTCGTGAAAATGACCTCGGGCCCAGACCTGGCGGGCGCAGGCCTGGACAAATGACGGCCGCGGCGCCCCCTCGAGCACCGAGGACGGACAACTCACAAAATCGACGCGTCAGGGTGGGGGCTCTGCCCGCCCCTTGAACGAAGGATTGCAAAAAAAACCCAGGATTGCAAAAAAAAAAAAAAACATCTGGGCACGAAGCATTGCAACGAAGGATTGCCAAAAAACCCATCTGGGGATTGCAAACAAACCCATCTGGGCACGCCCCACCTGGGCACGCCCCGTCACGCGGCTCCGGCCTCCCAGGAAGGCCCTCTGCGCGCTACTGCGCGCCTGCTCCGCCGGTCTCCTCTCTGCAGCTCCCCGCGGCGGACAGGGCCGTGCCCTGCGCTGCACACGGCTGCACACGGCTGGGCCCAGCGGCAAGCGAATCAATTCGTCTCGCCCGTCGGTCGGAAGAAGCTGGCAGAGAGGTGAAGCAGGAAAGCGTTGGAGGTAGACCAGGCTTCCGCCCGCCCCCTGACGAGGAAGGAGCGAGTGAGACCAGTCGATCCTTGAAATGAGAAGGCGCCTACAGTAGATTGGGATCCGGGAATCCAGAAATACCTGCTTTCAACGACCGACGGGCACTCCTACCTGTCTTCCGCCGACGGCGACGTGAAAACCCTTCGATTAGCAATGGGCGAGGCAATTTCTGGAACGCCCTCTGTGGGCGATCGAAGCGAAACTGTAGCTGACAATTCTGTGAAGAGTGATACTGCCTGCTGCCATTGCCCTTCTTGCTCGCACATGCTGATTCCAGTGCTGTAGCTCATGACCTGCTGGTCGATCTTCGATTCTCTCATATGAGCGAGCAACGCCAATATGTGCAAAGCCTGCCCACCCTTCTCGCAAGCGCTGACTCCTGAATTGTAGCTAACGGTATTTGGCTCCAATCTAGCGTCAACCATTTCCCAGATCAGCGACAACGCCTGCTGCCATTGCCCAACTCTCTCGCAAGCACTAATTCCAGCACTGTAGCAGATCACGTTTGGTTCCAATTGTGCCTCTATCGACCCACTGAGCAACGACAACGCCCGTTGCCACTGCCCTCCTTTGTCGCACGCGCTGATGACAGCACCGTACGTAATGACCTCTGGCTCTAATCTCGCCTCCCACAGCTCGCTGAACAAGGCCAATGCCTGCTGCCACTGACCAGCTTTTTCGCACGCGCTGATTCCAGCGCTGTAGCTGACAACGTCTGGCTGTAGTCTTGCGCTTGAGATTTCCTGGAATAACGCCGACGCTTCTTTCCATTGCCCAACTTTCTCGCACGCGCTGATGCCAGCATTATACATTTGAATGTCCGCCTCCAACTTCGCTTCGCGCAACTCGCAAAATAAAGACAGCGCCTGTTGCCACCACCCGCCTCTTTTGCAAGCGTCGACCGCGGCACTGTAGCTGATTACGTTTGCACTGAGGCTCAATTGACCCAACTCGTTAAACACTGACAATGCCTGCTGCCACTGCCCAGCTTTCTCACACGCGCTTATCCCAGCATTGTAGCCGATGACCTGCATCTCCACGCTGGCGTCAACCGCTTCGCGCAGCAGCGATAACGCCCGCTGCCACTGTCCTCCTTTCTCGCACGCGCTGATTCCAGCGCTGTAGCTGAGTAGTGCCAACCCGTGGATTAAATCCACAGCTTGCTGGACCTGGGACTCGCAAGCCGTAGGTTTAATCCACGGGAGCCTGGAGCTGTTCTTGGGGCGAAATGGGGAGAACCTGAAAATCCTTCAATGACTCTGGAAAGTTAACGATTTTGGCCTCGTGGGCCGTCATTGGTGTTCTCTTGGGCCGTCTTGGGAGACCTCCTGGCTTGTCTTGGGGCCGCTCTGGGGCATTTTGAATTCGCTTCGGGCTCTCTCAGACCATCCGGGCACTCTCCTGAGCGTCTCTGAGCTGGCATTGGACGCAGCCAGCCCTGGGAGCGCTGGGGCGCCCCACAAACGCCAGGAGACGCCCCGGGCCGCTGCCACTGCAGCGCCATCTCGCGCGCACTGACCCGAGCAGTGTAGAACAGACTTCTCTGAGCCCTCCGCGAACGTAGTTTATATGTGAACAAAAACGCCAGCCGCATGTTGGGTACCACCTTGGCGCCTGCACACGTGAAGAACGCGTGCCAAATGCACACGTGTCGGACGCATGCTCGTTACCCCGATAGGGGCGCGTAATTTGGGGATGAAGACTCTGCCAACCGCAAGTTGGATACCCCCTTGGAGCCTACGCACGTGGAAACACATGCCAAATGTACGCGTGCCTGACGCCTGTTCGACACCCCGCTCTGGGCGCGTATGCCATGTGTGAAGAATCTGCCGGCCGCACGGTGGGTACCCCTCTTGGCGCCGATTCTCGTGAAGATCGCGGGCCACATGCACTCGTGCCAGACGCGTACTCGATATGCCCCCCTCCCCGTGCAAATAGTTTGACGTGTCAGGGTCCGCGGGTCGCTTGAATACTCCGGCTTCCCTGCACGCGTGAAAACGCGTGTCAAATGCGCGCGTGCCAGGCGAATGTTCGATGCCCCGCTCTGGGCACGCACTTTTACGTATGAGGAATCCGAAGGCTGCATGTTGGATACCCCCCCCCCTCGCGCTTACGCGCGGTGAAGCAAGTACCAAACCCACGCGCCAAGCGCATGACGGACACACCCCCTCCGCACTTGTGACTCTTTGCGTGCGAACCGGGCGCCCCCTGCTTTGCGCCCTTCCAGTCTGAGGCCCAAGGCCCGACGGACAAACGGAACCCTCGGCCCTGGCCCCTACTGGGATGACCGTCGGGGTTTCTAAGTGCATAGGGGGGTTACAAGCGGATGCCAAGGTGTGCTATATCTGGCCCTCCCTGGCTGATAAGTGGGTCACAAATGCCCCGAGTGGCTTAGGGGGGCCAACGATCCGGGCTGAGTGGGCCGCACACTCAGCGGAGTTATCTGACCCCCCTAAGCCACTCGGGGAATTTGTAACCCACTTATAAGTCAGGTTGGGCCAGAGATGACCCACCTTAGCATCCACTTTCAACCCCCCTATCCACTTAGAACCCCCCACGGTCATCCCAGTACCGGGAAAGCCAAGACGGCAGGAAGTCTGCGCGCTGGCTCGTGTGCCGCAGAGGCGACATGGCATCGGCCTCCAGCTTCGCGCCCCTCAGCTCGCCGAGCAGCAGCAGCGCGTGCTGCCACTGCGCTCCCTTCTCGCAGGCGCTGATCCCGGCGTTGTAGGTGATGGTGCTCGGCGAGACGCTCGCCTGCCCGCTTTCGCGGAGCACCCGCAACGCCTGCCTCCACTGCCCGGATTTCTCGCACGCGCTGATTCCGGCGTTGTAAGTGATGATGTTGGGCTCTAAGCTCGCTGCAATACCGTGCCAGAGTGTTGACAACGCATGCTGCCACTGCACACTTCTCTCGCACGCGCTGATTGCAGCGCTGTAGCTGATTATGTCCGCTTCCACTTTCGTCTCCCACATCTCTCTGAGCAAGAACAGCGCCTGCTGCCATTGCGCGCCTTTCGCGCACGCGTTGATCCCAGCGTTGAAGCATCTCACGTTTGCTTGCAACTTAGATCCGCAAAGCTCGCTCAGCACCAACAGCGCATGCTGCCATTGCCCTATTACCCCGCACGCGCTGATCCCAGTGCTGTAGCTGATCACGTCTGCTTCCACGCATGGCTCCTCTCTCGTCTCCTGCAGTAGTGACAGCGCACGCTGCCATTGCTTGCCTCTGGCGCACGCGCTGATGGCGACATTGTATAGGCTGGTGCTGGCCTGAAAGCCTGATCGCAGTGAGTCCCTGAACAAGCGTAAAGCATCAGCCCAGCGGGCCTCTTTCCCGCACTCGCTGAGAACGGCCGCGAGGCCACGAACGTCCAACGGGTGTCCTCGCTGTCTTGCCCCGGTGGAAATTACCATGCACATTCTACAAACTCAGCGAACCAAAGCTGCTATAAATCTACGGGTGCCACCAGGAATGCCACCTGGGAGAAAGATTCCGCCGACTGCATTTATTATGAATTGTTTCTGGCGGCGGCAATGCTGTCATGCGGCTCGGCGCAACTCATACGTTTGTTCGGGCACGTGGCTGCCGTGAACTTACGGCCAACGTCAAAACTAATTTGAGGGAGTTCGTCTTGAGAACTCACGTCGTCCTGACCCTGGCGCGCGAGGGAATGGTCTCGCCAACCGCCCCCCTGTGTCATTTCTGGAACATCCGGGAAATCAGGGAAATCCGCCGACGAATTCCAAACCAGCGCCCTCGCGTGGAACATCAAAGGGGCCCCCTGATCCGTTTCCGGGAAACCTGGGAAGTCTGGCGATGAATTCCAAACGGGCGCCCTCGCGTGGGACATCTTCACGAGACCGGCCCCCCGAGCCTCCCCAAGGAGGCCCTCAGAGACCTCGAGGCCTCTTTGGGGTTCGTCACTAGATTTTTTCCAGCTTTCCTGGGAACAGAACGAAGATTCTTGTTCTGTTTCCGGAAAACCCGGAAAATTCGGCGACGAATTGCAAACCAGCGCCCTCGCGGGGGATATCCTCAGAAAACTGCCGAGCCTCCCCAAGGAGGCCCTCAGAGGGGCTCCATTGTTCCGTTTCCTGGAAGCCCGGGAAACCCTGCGACGAATTCCAGACCGGCGCCCTCGCGCGGGACAGCCTCAAACAACTTGCCCCCGGAGCCTTCCCAAGGAGGTCCTCAGAGACGCGAGACGGGGCGCAGTGGGCGTGTCCCAGTCGGGGGCTCGCGCTGGAGACCTCCTCCCAAAGTCGACCCCCGGCGCGCGAGGAAGTCAGGCCCCGCAACGCTCCCAGAGACCATTTCAGGGGATCTGCTGGCGCGCTCCGGGGCGCGCCAGGGCGCGCTGGGCGTGGTGTCCCAGCCCAGGGCTCTCGCTCGAGACATCCTCCCAAAGTCGAGCCCCAGCGCGCGAGAAAGCCAGGCCCCACCGCGCCCCCAGGGGCCATTTGCGGGGATCTGCCGGCGGGCGTGTCCCAGTCGAGGCCTCTCTGCTCGAGACATCCTCGCAAAAATCAGCCCCCGCGTGTCCGAATCTGGGGCTCCTGCTCGGGACACCCTCGCAAAGTCGCCAAACCGCCCCCCGAGGAAGGCCCCGAGGACGATGACGAGGATGAGCAGGGAGGAAGACGGAGTAGGACAGAGGAGGGGAGGAGGGGTGAGGAAGGGAGGAGGAGGAGGAGGAGGAGGAGGAGGAGGAAGAGGAAGAGGAGGAGGAGGAGGAGGAGGAGGAGGAGGAGGAGGAGGAGGATAGTTGGAGGAGGTGGAAGAGGAAGAAGAGACCCGCCGTCGGCCAAAACACACCGAACATCCAAGGGTACTCCCTTCAGGATGCTCAAGAGCATCCAACACAGACGAATAACACCAGGGTGCTCTCCCCGAACCTACCTCGATCTTACACCTCGGTCCGACTGTGGGAGGATGACGAGGAGGAGGAGTAGTAGGATGAGGAGGAGGAGGAGGAGGAGGAGGAGGAGGAGGAGGCCGAGGAGGAGGAGGAGGCGGAGGAGGAGGAGGAGGAGGAGGCCGAGGAGGAGGAGGAGGAGGCGGAGGAGGAGGAGGAGGAGGAGGAGAGGAGGAGGGGAGGAGGAGGAGGATGGGGAGGAGGAGGTGGCGGGGCAGGAGGAGGAGGAGGATAGTTGGAGGAGGTGGAAGAGGAAGAGGAGGAGGAGGAGGAATGACCTCCAAGGACCTCCAGGAACCGCACGGGAGGTCCTGGGAAGATGTGGAGGAGAAGGCGGAGGTTGCCAGCATGGGAGCGGGAGGGGTCAGATGCCCCCCTCCCTCCCGCTCATTTTCCTCTCGCCCACGAGCATATGCCCCTTCTTCAATATGCAGAAACTCCCGACCAACCGCAGGGCGGCCGGCTGGTATGTCAGCCGCGCTGCCCGTAAACAATAGATCCACTAACCCAGAAAGTAACCAAACCGCATCGTAGTATGCCATGTCTGATATACGCTGGGGTGGCATGTTGCTATCTAGTATTTCATGATGTGTTCTGGTGCAACAAGAAATGAAGCGGCAAAGCGGCACCGCACAGGACAACAATCAAACACAAAGCAACGCACATGGATTCAAACAATGGGAATCATAAGTGGGGAAGCCACAGATCGTACATCGCTCTTCTCTCCTCTCCCTCCCCCTCCCCCTCCTCCTCCTCCTCCTCCTCCTCCTCCTCCTCCTCCTCCTCCTCCTATTCAGACCTGAGGCCTGTTCCCAGGCCACCCACGCTCGGTCTCTTTTTGTGGCTCTCGGGCTCCTGGCACCTCCCCCAGGCCAAGGCCTAGCGGCCGCGGCCCGTGCGGGGGAGGAGCTCGGCCCGCCCTGGAGGTTCGGTGCCAACGGCACCCTCTGAGAGCTCTCGGGTCCTCGCGTTGCCTCCTTGGGCCTCGGGGTCGGCAAGCGCGTGGGGCCCTGACCGACCCAGCCCCCGAGTCTCCTTTTTTCTCGCGGGGAAGTTGGCTCTGGCATGCGATCTCACGCCTCACTTGATTGGATTTCTTTCTTCCGAGCCGCCTTCGCCGCGCCCGTCCCCGTCGACACCTACGATGGGTTCGGCGCCAGCACCTACGAGGACTTCGTCGGGTACGGCGCAGGCGCCCCCCTCTTGTGACAATGCCAGGCCGCGTCGCCCGGGCGCTGCCGACCTCTCCCTCCTCCACCTCGTCCTCCTGTCTTGTCCCCGCCCCAGTCGCTCTTGAGCTTTTTTGCTGTCTGGCCCCTGGACCCCCCCCCCCGAATCCTGGAGGAGCTGAGAAAAAAGGAGTTCGGAGTTGCAGGATGTGATCTGGGGGGCCGAGGCGGCCGATCGGGGCAGGTGTGCGTGCCTCGGAGGCCTGCCAGATGCAGGCGGCATCGGCGGCCACGGCCTCATAGAGGCCCGAGGGGCACCACCCCCCGCCCGGAGGACCAGTGTGACGAACTGCGACGGTCGCGCGGGCGAAGCTTCCCAGAGGCTGCACGGTGCGTGTAACCCCCACCTCGGGTCGTCACGGCACGATACGACTGTGAGAGGCTGATGTCGAGTCGGGCTAGTTGCTCGACCCCCCAGAGGTCCAACCGAGACCACACGCAAGGCCGAGTCTTCTTCTGCTTCTTCCTCCTCCTCCTCCTCCTCTTCCCACCCCTCTCCTCCTCCACCTCCCCACTCGTCTTCCCGCCCGCCCTTTTCCCCCTCCCCTCGCCACTCTCCCCCTATCTTCGCGCCACCACTTTTTCCCACAATTATTCCACAACTATCCAGCCCGTGCACCTTATGAGTACTACTCTCCTCTCTCCCCCGTCTCTGTCTGGAGGGTGTCCCACCCTCCCCGCATGTTGTTTCCACGCAGGACGTGAGACATTCGTGTTTCTCATGTTCGGCGGCGAGCAAGGGGGGGGAAGTGAGAAGGAGACGGCCCTCTGAGAATGCGGCGTGACTTCTCAGAAGCCCTCGTGCCTTCTGAAAGGCTTTCGGTGTCTTCGCGGAAAGCTTAGAAAGCTTCTCAAAGGACGGGGGACGTCAGAGCCTTCTGTGAAGGCCCGCCCCTTCTCACTTCCTCCCCGGGCTCGCCGCCGATCCATGTTTGTCCGATCCGATCGCTTTCGGTGCTTCAAGATGGTGCTCCCGCTGCAGCGCTGGTCACATTTCCGCGCATCCGGTCCTTCAAAATCATGCTCCCGCTGCATCGCTGGTCTCATTTCCGCGCATCCGGTCCTTCAAGATGGTGCTCCCGCTGCATCGCTGGTCTCATTTCCGCGCATCGGGTAATTCAAAATGGTGCTCCCGATGAAGCGCTGGTCTCATTGCCGCGCTTCCGGTCCTTCAAAATCGTGCTCCCGCTGCATCGCTGGTGGCCTCATTTCCGCGCTTCTGGCCCTTCAAAGTCGTGCTCCCGCTGCAGCGCTGGCCTCATTTCCGCGTTTTCGGCCCTTCCGAATGGCACCCCCACTGCAGCAACGGCCTCATCTCCAAATAACCAGCCCTCCAGCATGGCTTGCGCACCCAACTTGATATGAATACTACTCTCTGATCCGCCGAATATGGCTGGGGAGGGGCCCCCCCCCTTCGGCGTACGGCTTTTACAAACAGGACTCCATTAGCTGGCCTTTCCCCATGGGTTTTACAATCGGAGCGTTTTCGGCGTCTCAAAACGGTGCTGCCGAAAACGAGAGCTCAACACAAAAAGGTGGGGAAAAACGAGTGTCACGGCCAGCATCGTTTCCCAAGATGGCCCTCCCTGCCCACCGAAGGGCGCCGAAGCGCAGAAGAAGAGGTCGGCGGGCGTCCCTAGGACACCCCCTCGGCCAGGCTGCCTCTGTCCCCGTCATCTCCTCCTCTTGATGTTGCTTTTGCTTGACGGCTTACTGTTGAAGGGGCCCTGGGACACACATGAATAGACACAATAACAAGACTCACCATAGTTTCCCATATTTTCTGGGTTTTCGTCTTCCCCCACTTCCCATAGTTTCCCACATTCTCTGGGGAATCGACGATTCGTTGTGTCTCTGTGTGTATCTTCCCCTCCCGATTACTGTGTCGCCTGACTTGCACCAAACCTCCGTCCTCGCGCAAAACGTGCACGCTGTCGCGCTGCCGTCGCCAGCATCGCTGCGCTCCTCCCCTCCCCTCCCCTCCCCTCCCCTCCCCTCCCCTCCTCTTTGCCTCTGGCGCCACGCCCACGCGCGAGAGGGGCGGCAGCGGAGCGGCAACGACGCCTCGTGGACATCGTGAGCTCCAAGACGCCACGGCCGGCAAGCTCCGGTAGGGTAAGGGCGACGAGGTCTATACACACCCACTGCTCCCAGCAGCGGTGCACACGCCGCGCCCACCCTGGAACCAGCAGCGGTGTACACGGCACGCCCTCCTGGCCGAGGCAGCAGGGCGTACTAGGGCTCCCAACTTCGCGCTTCGCGCTCCGCGAAGCGCGAAGCGCGAATAACTTCGCGCTCTCGCGCCGCCCTCCCAAAGGGAGAAAAGGAGGACGAGGAGGAGGGGGAGGAGGAACGAGGACCGCGAAGCGCGAAGCGCGAATAACTTCGCGCCCTCGAGGGAGCCCTTGGCGTATACACGGCTCCTGGGCTCAGGATGGGCCTGGTCAGGGATCGGTGGATGTGTACAGATTTCGTCGTCCGACAGGGCGCACCCCGAGAGGCCCCAAGGCTGCCAGCGCGCGGGCGCCCTTGAGCATCCCACTGCCACCAGAGGTGATCCCGGCCTCGCTTCCTCTGCTCGTGCTGGCTGGGCATGCGCACAGCAGCGCTCTGGCGTCGTCGCTGTCAAAGTGTCAGTCTGGGCAGCCAGATGGGCGACGGAAAAAATTAGGGGAACGAATAATGACATATACATAACAACTCGGAGATTCGCGCGGATTTCTCGGATCCGCACTGGACTCCCCTGGCGGCGCCTCCGGCGCCGCCCCTGGCACGCTCCGCGCGCCTGGGAAGGGAGTCCAGCGCCGATCCGAGACATCCGCGCGGAGCTCCGAGTTTTTGTGTTTATGTCATTATTCGTTCCCCTAAAGATGGGTCTTGCGCAAGATGCCATAGCGACCTTACGCCGCGGCTTACGCGGGCCGCCAGCACGGTACGCCGCATTGGAGACGAGGGCGCTTACGAGCGACCTGACGCGGCAGCTTACGCGCCAATGTCGGTAAAGACGACCCTTGTTTTGCGTCGCTCAAGTGTGAACCTGACCCCTACCAGTCCAACGCCTGGGGGGGCCCAGGGCACCAGTGGGGGCTCAGAGATTGAGAGCGGGCACAAGCGAAATGAATCTCGAGTAGCGAACTCCTGTCGCCTTCACTGGCGAACTCTTGTAGGTCCAAATGAATGGGCGACGGGGGTACAGCTCGGACTTCGTCGCTGACGATCGCGGTCCATAACGCTACCACCATGACAAGACTAACGACAAACACTGGTGTCGACCGTAGGTCCTGCTGTTTACCGCTTGAGATGCACGAGATGTACACCACCATGTGTCATTCTTCGTAGTCGACAATACATTGTTTTTCGACGCTGCTCTCTGCCGTGTATACGCGTCCTATCCACCACATCCTCTCCAGCTCCCACAAGTTGTTGCAACACCTTTTCTGGCCATCTGGTGCACCGACTACTGTACGATGTCCTAGCTACGTGGTGCGTCACACGCAGGATACAGCTACCCTCATGGAAGCTGATCGCTAGCGTGCCAAGCACAAGATTTCCCAGGAGTTCGGGTCTGTGTGGGAGCAAGCTGGAAGGAGACCGTCCAAGCAAAGGCTCCCTGGAGGCGGCACGCTGCGCCTCTTCTCCCGCCGATGAAACCCCGCCTGCAAAGGTTGGGCGTTCGACCATTGGGAAAACATGAGCGGAATAACGAATGAGCGACGGAGAGAATGATGGCCTTACGCACACCGGCGACCTTGCGCGGTTGCTTACGCAAGCTTCGAATGCTGCACACGGCGTCGGAACGAGTGCGCTTACGCGCGACCTTGCGTAGGCATCTTACTCGCACATGCCCGCGCAATCGGCAACCCTTATTGGCGTCGCCCACATGAGAAGCAACGTGATGACCCTGGGATCAGCGGAACCCGTCGCTTTAATTACGCATGCAGTGGGTCGCACTGCTCTTGGAAAACAATGGCTGGCGGCAGCCGCGCACGAAACGCAGTCGCACGCCTTGCGGGGCCATGGAAGTGGCAGCACGCGTACCCCTGGAGGCACTGCAGGCAGAAGATAAGCAATATTCTAATGCAGTCAGCGCCATACCTTCTCAGAGCATGGATACTTCATTGAGGATAATCCAATGGTAAAACACAATCGCGAATTGACCTTTCCAACATCTCAAGCACGTGGGCGTCCTTCGCCTGATATGAAGCCTGGCCATACCGCCAGCGGCGACGAGCGACTCCAATGGCCTGGCTGGCACTCTGGCTCACAAGGCACTTTCAGAATCCGTCCTCGCTCCTCCTATGCCCACCTTCCAAGGATGAGGAGGGGAAGGGGGCACAAGTAGGAACAGGACCATGAGCAAGACAACTTTCGGGTGCTGCGCGGTGCGTGTCGCGACTTACTTTTAGACTGGCCAAGAACCAGAAGAGACATCCACGTAAGGACGACGCGAGAGGAAAGCAAGGCAAACATCGTAGAACAGCTGCATGACAACCTGCATACGCTGACGACGGGCAACAGAGAGCCGACGCGCAGCTTTGCGCAGTGAGGCAGGAGGCGAGGAGAGCAGGTCTATCGCAAGGCAAAGCGCGATTGCTGGTTCGAGAGGACGGCGCGCGTGCCGCGAAGAGACGACAAGGCCGACCGCACTCCAACTGCTCGACAAGTTGCCGCGCGGACCAGCCAACGTCGCGCCCCGCAACGAAGGAGGATACCTGTCCTGTGGACACGGATGCTCAGCAGGGACATGGCCTCGAGCTGTCAACCAAACGAAGTCGACTGCGCGGCTGTCTTCTGTCGCGCAGGTCTACCATCGAAGCCTCGCGCTGCGAACAGAGCAGTCAAGTTACCAGTTGGCGTGCGAGCCCCCCAGACCGACCCCAGTATGGCCCGCGAGTTCCCCAAGAGGGCCTGAAGATGGTCCCAGAAGGCCCCAGGCTGCCCAAGAGACCTCAAAGACTGCCCCCAACCCCCTCAGGGGGAGTCGGACCCAAGAGAGGCCCATGCGGGCAAACCCGTTTGACAACACGTACGACATCGGACGCCGCACAGATCGTCCTCCAGGGGTTGGTGGAATGGCGTAAGCCTCTCTTACGAGGACGCAAGGAGAACACACAACACGTGGTGGCGGGCCGTTCACTCCAGCCTCGGCATAGGGGTATAAACTAGTATTCGGCAGAGCAGAATACCTGTTCTCTGCAGTATAAACGGTTCAAATTTCTTATGCAAACCACTCGGTGCAATAGGCGTGGTGCTACATATGGGGTTAACAAACCTACTTCCTGCTGTGTGGTGCAGTACGGATGGTTCAGTGCCTTCAATGGAAACAATGTGGTAACATCGGGAAGGTGCAACGTCGGAGGTGCAAGCTGTGTGATGCAGTACAGGTCACCCATACATGGGTGCACTATGTGTGGTGCAGTACATGGGGTGCACACTAGGTGATGCAGTCTATGTATGCGTTGTCCACGCATCTATGCGGCGCACTATGCGTAGTGCAAGCTGTGTGATGCAATCTATGTCGTGCAGTCTAAGGGATGCAAGTCACTTTGACTGTCTTGAAACTGTCCTCTCCACTGCTCGTGCAAACATCCCACCCTCCCACCCGCAACTTGGTCGCAAGACCTCTTAAGACCGTGACGGTAGGTACCAAACATTTCGTTTGGCAACGACACCGAAGCCGACACCGGCAGCGACAACGACGACGCCGACGACTACAACGACGACACCGGCGACGACTCCGACGACTTCGACGACGACGACAACGACGACAACGACGACAACGACACCGACGACGACGACGACGCCGACGCTTCGACGCCGACGACGACGAAGACGACGACGACGCCGACGCCGACGACGACGACGCCGACGCCGACGACGACGACCACGTCGCCAACGAAGACGACGACGACGAGGGAGGAGGGAGGACGACGACGGCGACAACGACGACAACGACGAGGAAGGAGGGAGGACGGCGACGACGCGAACGACGAAGAAGGAGGGAGGACGGCGACACATGTTCTGCAACCTATGTGGTGTGCACCCTCATTGGTGCAAGCTGCGCGGTGCATGCAAGTCGGTGCAAGCTATGTGGAGGAATCTATGGGATGCAACTGATTTTTACCCATGATTTGACACATCCCACGCTCTTGCAAACATCCCACCCACCCACACGCAACTTGGTTTGCAAAACCTCTTAAGACCGACTACGACGACACCGACGACGTCTCTGACGACTTCGACGACGACAACGACGCCGACGCCGACGACGGCGAAGACGACGACGACGACGCCAACGAAGACGACGACGAGGGAGGAGGAAGGACGACGACGGCGACAACGACGACAACGACGACAACGACGAGGGAGGAGGGAGGACGGCGACGACGCGAACGACGAAGAAGGAGGAAGGACGGAGACGCCGACGACGACAACGACGAGGGAGGAGGGAAGACGACGACGACAACGACGACGACGACGACGGCGACGAAACAGGAGGGACGACGACGAGACGCCGACGACGGACGACGACGACGAGGGAGGAGGAGGAAGGACGACCACGGCGACAACGACGACGGAAACGACCACGACGCCGAAGAGGACGACGACGACGACGACGAACACGAGGAAAGACAGAGGACGACGTAGGCGACGACGACGACGACGCGGGAGGAGGGAGGACGGCGACGACGACGACGACGACGACGACGCAAGAGCGCGCGCGCACGCTTTGTTGAAAATCCGTGTTGCGAAACCTTGTGTTTTTGTAGGTTGCTTGGACACACGACTTTGAAATCCCTCCGAAACCGATGGGTTTTGAAGGTTTTCGGCATACGCGCGCGACGACGCGCGCGTCTGCACTTCGTCGCATTTTTTGCAGAAGATTCTCGCGACGGCACACGCGCAAGGGCGTTCGACAGATTTCAACATGCGCGCGCGCGAAGCCCGTTTAATAACATGTTGTGAAAATCTTGAAAACCTATGGTTTTCTTAAGTTTTCGCAAGAGCTCGCGCGGAAGTTTTTGTAGCAAATCAGTGTTGCGAAACCCTGTGTTTTTGTATGTGTTTTGGGAAACTCGATCGCGAAATCCTTCCGGCACCGAAGGTTTTTGAAGGATTTCGGCATGCGCACGCGACGACGCGCGCGTGCGCACGTCGTCTTTTTTTTGGCAAGGGATTCGTGAAAAAGTGTTGTGTTAGAACCAACAATGTCACCGCATAGTGTTTTTTTTTGTACCAGGGAACCTCAGGGGGGGGAAACCAGGTCCCCCGGGGATAATGTAAATTCATATTTCGGATGGACATGTGGTCAGAATCGTATGTGGTTTACATACCCGAAAGGGGGACCGAAAACGCCGGGCGGGGTGGGAAGTAAAGTCTATTTTCTTTTAAAGAGAAGAATCTCCTTTGACTGTCTTGAAGCTGTCCTCTCCACTGCTCGTGCAAACATCCCACCCTCCCACCCGCAACTTGGTCGCAAGACCTCTTCAGGCCTTGGCGGTAGGTACCAAATGGCACTTGGAGGCGACACCGACGCCGACGACGACAGCGACGACGACGACGCCGTCGACGACGACGACTCCGACGACTTCGACGACGACGGCGAACGACGACGACGACACCGACGGCTTCGACGACGACGACGACGCCGACGCCGACAACGACTACGACGATGACGCCAACGACGACGACCATGACGCCGACGCCGACGACGACGACGCCGACGACGACGACGACCACGACGACGACACCGACGACGACGACGACGAAATAGGAGGGACGAACGAAGACGAGACGCCGAAGACGGACGACGACGACGACGAGGGACGAGGAAGGACGACCACGGCGACAACGACGACGGAAACGACGACGACGACGCCAAAGAAAACGACGACGGCGACGACGAGGGAAGACAGGCTGATCACGCCGACGACGATGACGGCGTCTCCGCGTCGGTAATGAGCGTTTTCGAAGGAGTTCGACATGCGCGCGCGGCAGACGCGCGAGAATGGCTCGAATGGTGTTTTTTTGACGCGGATCGTGCCACCCCAGCACGCGCGCAAAGGCGTTTGAACGACTTCGACATGCGCGCGCGAAACCCGTTTGGTAGCATATTACGAACATGTTGAACAACTTCCGATGTTCTTGAAAATTCGCAAGAGCGCGCACACGTTTTTTCCAATTCTGCGAAATCGCGATATTTTTGTTTAAAATATGTTGTTAGGACCGTCGATTCTGAATCCCTTCCGAAACCAACGGGTTTCAAAGGATTTCGGCTTGCGCGCGACGACGCGCGCGTGTGCACTGCGTCTCATTTTTGGCAGAGGGTTCTCGCGACGGCACGCGCGCAAAGGCGTTCGAACGATTTCGGCATGCGCGCGCGAAGAGAAATCGACGGTTTCCGTAAGAATTCGCAAGAGAGCGCGCGGGAAACCATGTGTTTTGAAATCCTTCCGAAACCGAAGGCTCTTGAAGGATGTCGGCACGCGCGCGCGACAACGCGCGCGTGTGCACTTCGTCCCCTTTTGTTGCAAGGGATTCTTCAAAACTTGTGATTTATGATGACTGCGTGTGCGCGCATATGTTTTGCAAAGGATGGCGGGGGGGGGGCGATACAGGCCCCCTGGGATAATGCAAATTCGTGTTTAGGATGGACGATGGGGCAGAATCGTAAGTAAATTGCAATGCGAAAAGGGTGACCTTTCAGTCCGGGGGGGGGGCGTGGTAGACCCTATCTCCTTCTTAGAAAGCAGAATGAATCTCTGTTCGCAGTGAGTTGCCCACTCCACTGCTCGCGCAGATATCCCACCCACCCACCCGCAACTTGGTTTGCAAACCTCATGCGGCGGCGATTGCGATGAGTGCTTGGCGCTGGCTGGTGCATCTCTGAAGCCGCGCCAGCCCGCGCATGCGCGCGCGCAGCGGCCAGGTAGTTTGGCGCGACCGACGCGGCCGCGGTGGTGCTGACCGCTCGGCACATCCCAGCGGGCACTTGAGTGCGAGTCGGCGACTTGGGCGGGTGCGGAATCATGGCAACGTCGACATTTGTAGACGCGATGATGAAGATAGTGGCGATGTTGGTGGCGATGCTGACAGCGACGACGGCGCGGCCAGTGACGGCGCCGATGCCGATCAAGCCGACGACGATGACGGCGTATTCGAGTCCGTGACGATGGTTTTGGACGGAATTCGAAATGCGCGCGCGGCAGACGCGCGAGAGTGGCTCGCACGGTATCATTTGACA